CAGCATTGCACGAATCTGGTGGGGTAGCTGGATGAGGAATGCTGAGGTTAGGCGCAGAGTTTTTGGTATCCGCGGTCGCCCACTGGAGCAAAGTGGTCGACCTCCATAGATTACGTTGGTTGAGACATGTGTTACACATGTCACCAGATAGGTTTCCACAGCGAGGGATGTTCGCCGAAGCAAGTAGTGAGTGCAAGAAAGTCAAGGGTGTGCAAGCTAAAACCTGGCACGACCGTTGTACTGGGTCACAAAGGTCCCGTTAAACTTCCTGGCTGGGCTCCTCGAGACGATCGTACCCGATGGTTTTAGACACTGAATGATATGGCTGGGTGTCATAAACAGTCGCGTTTGTGCATCTTCTCAATTTGTTTGGAACCATGGTTTACTGGAGTACTCAATTTTCTCTTCGATTCCACCTTCAACTTTCTTATTCTTCTCCTATTATTCCTCCAAGTGGGCAACCAAAAGACTACAACCAAAACCGGCGCACAAAAGTGCATGGTATGGTTATTCAAACTGAACTGAACCATGTTTTACGCTTGATTTAACCGTTGTGCACTGACGATGTGCTGTTCTGGTCTGTGCGTCGATCTGGAAGAAGTAGTGGATCGGTGAATAAAGTTGGGAATATTTGATGTGTAGTGTATTGTGGACAGTTGTCGTTGTGTTTCCGTTATTCGGTTTACCTCTGACGAGCTGACTGTTGCACAGGGCAACCAACCTATGGAATGCTCGTGCAGCTGATGTGGTGGATGAGGTTAATGACAGCTCATTTATGAGGAACTCGACTTCGTCCTTCTAAAAAGTGGTATCCAGCTCCGTGGTAGATGCCTACCAGGAGTCTGTTGTGACGAGGCTTTTACGGGAATTTTCCTTTGTCTCTAATTAAAGAACAATGAGCATTTGGATGATTCATATGTCAAGTCCTTATGGGATAAAATACAGATATTCTTGGGCTTACAAAGGTACTCTTTTGTCGAATACTCAACTTGGAGTATTCCCGACAGAGCATCTGGTTACATATCAGGTGGTTTGCGAAAGCCACCACTAATGGCAGTCAACCTTGAGCATAAACCGGCGGTGACGTAAACCTCTTGGTTGCAAAAGGTGGAACCTACAATAAAAATCGCTGCCGGGGAGGGTTATTGATGTCCTCAACACTAAAGCTTCTGCATCTGGGAGCTGAAATTTACGAAAGAAATAAAATTCTTTCGGTGCGACGACTTTCCGACAGCTTTGTACTGCGTTAGATGCTGTCTCCCAGTTATACCACAGCTAGTCAACTCCTTGCTCAGTTTTTGATGGATACTTTGTCGAAAGCTCTTGACAGGTCTAAGCTGTAACCCTTATTGACCGCTGGAGTCCAATCAGCGGTGGCTGACAATAGGTTGATTAAGCATGAACGTCCCCTTAGGAAGCCATGTTGATGAGGGACTATAAGGTCAATTTAAGAATATTATTCCATTGTGAATTATACTCGATAGTGAAGCGTCAGGTTAAGGTTGGATCTTGAGAACGCAAGGAGATGATCTAATTAGAGTCCTGTATGGGGGGTTGGAATCCGACATACCTCTAAATGGAATATTTGAAGGTTTCTGGCCGACGCTTTTAACAGAAACACCTCGAGCTTCCAATGGTGAATCGTCCTACAGGTAGGCTTTTCGTACTTACGTTTGTAGTGGAATAAGCTGTTGTTTTTGTCACGATGAAGCTTGCCTTTTTGCATGGATCCTCATGTGCCTAATCAATCATTGACCTAAATCCATTTTGATACTGCAGTTTATATGTAAGAGCTTATTCCTTTGCTTGGTCAGATTGCCGTTCTTTCCTATCTGAGTGTATGATCGTTATTGCATACAACACTCGTCGATAACGAAATTTCTAACGGACTATTGTTCGTTGTCCTCATTTCCACTGTGCATAAATGGAAGAGACCTCGGAGGGTGAATTAATCCTTTAGCAGATTTTAGTGGTCCGTGAGTTGCAACGAAAATTTTAGACATTAAGATGTTTTTATCTTTTCTATGCTATATGGCATGATCAGATATGTTCTTCATTTCATGAAATACCTGAAAGGGTCCAAGAATCAGATGTGTCTGGTGCGAGTAAAAAACTTGAAACATCAGTTCTCACGTGCATATCGTGTTTCATGAAATGTCAAGCGCTCTAGTTGGTCAGTTACTGTCCCCTTTTAATTTAGTTGTGTACTTATCCGGAAAGGTTGAAAAAAAGTCGTTCTCATCTATAATGCTCAAATGTTTTAAGGATCTAGTCTGCATGAGAGGCTTTACACATGAGCATCACTCGGTGCTTTTCACGCCAGTAAAACTGCTTTTCTTGAAAGCGATAACGGTTTCCAGCTGTAACACTGCTGTCTTCATCTATTCTTATTCAAGAAATATAAATAGCTACTCAATTTGCACCAATTTATTTGATCTCGTGGAGGATTCCCATAAGAATATCAAAAAAACAAAATATATATAGCACAATCTTGTCTTCGTAATTTCGTCTTCAGGCATTTACAGTGATGTGCATTTATGTATAATCTAGAAATAAATGTAATTAGTTCATTGAGGTTAATGGGGAAAGAACAATAATGTGTGTCAAGTTCAATTGGAGCATATGGAGAAAAGAGGGAGGAGGGAGAGGGACCGATGTCAATTCAGGAAATTTCCGATAACGTTTTTCACGTGCCATGTTGCGTTATCACGACATGATTGAGGTCATGGTTCGGTTCGTTACGTAGTTTGGGGTGGGGCCAAGATAACTGGAGTGGGACAACCATTTTCTTCTGTTGGTAAAGTGGTGGGTTCATGATTGTGATTGCTACCGCTTCTGCCGTTACCAAGTACGTACGAGCGTACTTCGACCTGTTTCGGGGCACTTTGTAAATGACTTTAAATGCATCCTTGTCTGTCTGGTGCCTGGCATCGGCGAGGTGGGCCTCAAGCGCACCGATTATTGTCTTCTTGCAACGCGTGCTAAGCCAAGCTGGTTTATGTTCTCTGATTCTTCGTGAAAACTGTCTCATCGTTCGTCCTGCATCATCATCATCGTACAGCGAAATACCGTGAAGCGAACTTCACTGACCACAGCCTGCATAACTTGCCGAACGTGTGCAAGTAAAGGAATGTGTAATTATGAATGAGGAGAGGATGGACAGCTTATCCTTGAGGTTTGTGCAGAGCTGTGGCCGGCTTGTAAACGTCGCATGCAAAGTGGCGGCTGAATATGTTCGTGTGATTGTTTTGTCCAAACATTATTAGAAGACCACCACTCGAATCTCCTTTGAACGTGAGTTGCAAGAATAGTTCTTTTCCTTTGATCGTGATTGCTTTTGGCTGTGCTTTTCTATAAAATTCTTCTAGATGATGCGCTCTGGGTATCCATTATTCAGGAGTGTAGATTTGATGATTCCTAGCTGTCCCTTCACTAGATCCTTGGAGCAGATCATTCGAGTTTTAAAGGCTAACTTTCGTTTCAAATTTGAAGTGCATCTGACGTGATGACTAGTGTACGATTAGCTAGGCTTAACTAGTCTTCACACATTGTCAGTATCTTTCCTAGTGTTGTCTATTTGATATATTCCCTTTGACAATGCATTTTGAATGACTTATTTCTTTACCATTTATCCGTTTCCATTTTAGCTTAGCAATCAGTCTCCTAAATGATGTACCGATTGTACATGACCTGTGCTCGTTTGGGTCGGCGTTCTATCCCACAAACGCTTAAACGTCATGTACAATGCTATTCCGGGGAGGAGGGTTCGCACACCTCTACCGGCGCACTACATGGTCGACCCCATTTAACGAAATTTGGTGCGGCCAAATGTGCTATTGTTATGACTACCTGTATATACGCTGGAGCGATGATTAGCAAAAGCGGAGCTGCTTTCCTGGAGGAAAACGAGATCTTCGTACCTGAAGATGATGATGATTAGAGAGAGGAACATTGCAGATTGTCTTCCATTCGCTCACCTCACGTTTGTTCTTCGTTCCTCTGTTTTCAATTTTCTCAGTTGGGCTGTATTTGCCCTGTGATAGCTTTCAGATTTGTTTTACCACCCATTTTACCCTTCAAGCTTCCTCATCTTTGACAATCTTTTTCTTTCTCCGCTTTTCTCGTATTTCGAGAATACAGAGGACCTGCTTTTNGCTTTTTATCGGGTTATAGAAAATGATCGATAAAGTTTTCGTTTTATCAAAAATTCGATCATTTTTCATCTTATTCCATAAAGATCTATACGGTTATTGAATTCCATATTTTCGGGATCGTGTTAGTTCAGTTCAGTTCTTACAACCATTAACCATGCACCGGTTTTGGTTGCTGTCTTTCGGTTGCTCATTTGGATAAACAGGAGAATGATGATTAGAATGCTGACAGCAGATTCAAGCAGAAGATAGCGCATTTGCATAGACTGAAACTACAAGAGTAATGGGTGTATGTATGAGCGCCACTGTTTGCGACACCCAGCCATATCGCTCAATGTCTCTAACCATCAGTGATTATGATCTCGGGGTCCCCAGCCATGGAACCTAACGGGATATATGTGAGCCAGTCTCCTGGTCATAGTTTTCACACCCTCATGTCAGGTCTTAGCTTGACCGCCCTTCATTTTTTCCAACCGCTACCTGCCTCGCCAAACATCGCTCGCCGTGGAAACCTATCTGGTGGCATGCGTAGCACATGTCCCAATCAGCGTAATCTATGGAGGTTGACTACCTGTTCCAGTGGACGACCGCGATTACCTAAAGCTCTACGCTTAACCTCAGCATTGCTCGTCCGGTTACTCTACCAGATTAGTGCAATGCTACTTAGACAGCGGTGCTCAAACACCGACAGTCTATCTTTATTGGATCGTGTTAGGCGATCCAACCATTGCGTAAACAGGTGCGGAAAGTTCGCATAGTTCGTTTCTTGCTAACAATAGATGCATCAAGCTCATTTTAACCGATGGGACTCGTGATTCTCGGGTTTTCCCTTTATAGTCACTTTTTCTTCAATAGAATGAATGTACAATGTGTTCTATGGGTTGTCAAGGCGAGTTTATATCTGTATATTCAATCAGCTTGGTATTCGTTGCCCATCAATACGACTGCTGTATTCCGTCTCGTGAGCGATTGTTATCGTTCTCTGAGACACTTTTTTTAGAGACGTGTATCCGATGTGCGGGTTAGAGGCGTAATGCAAGTTCTTTTAAAACAAACAAGACGATAGTTGACCTCAGAATGAACTTTTATTGATGCCTAATCCAAGTTAGATGAAATGCATAACACTAGACTAGATGTCCAAATCAAATCATTGATTCATAGTCATAACTCATTGAACTGTGAAACTATTTAAAACGACGGGTTGATATAGTGAGAAGAAACGGAGGGGTGTATAGCCTCGACAATGTCTTTTTAACAAAGAAACCTGTTCATGATTTGTCTCTGACCGTAATACTGTCAGGTTGCCCGGGCCAAAGCAAATAGTTTTTCGCGCGGGGATCATCCTGGGAACTTCGGGTTAGCCAATGCCTAATCCACAAAGCAGTGAAGACCGGATCAGTGTTCAATCAGGTGGAAAATACGCCCTTTGAGCGCCGTGCACACGTCCAGTACGCCATATCGCCCAGTCGGACCCAGTTCATATCCCTGTTTTTGGGAGCTCTGGAATCGGAGGGTTTAAGTTCCCCGTAGATGAGTTAGCTTCCTCTGACCCATCATCCATGGTTCCGGCTTGTCCCCCTAAATTTATCGGGAAAACCCTGGTCACGAGGCTGTAGCGATTGTGACTGAACTAAACTGAAGCCCCATTAAATGATCTACATGAGAACATTACTCCGAACGAGAACGAGGCCTCACTTATCTTAGTTACGAAGGGTTTCTCGCCTGCTTTTTTGATGGAAAAGTCATCTGATGTGACATTGCGAACAATAGTTTTATTCCTGTATTCTTTTCACGTTTTTGCCCGCCCTTTAGCCTTGATATTACCAATCTCTATCTTTGTTACATTTGGTCTGTCTTCAAAAACCTCAGTATTGACGGGCACCCATTTGGAAAACGATCCTTCCCTTCTGACTAGTTCTTCTCAACCCCGATTAATCCCAGATGCTTCCTGTTTACACCACTCATCAAAAATCACTCAGCGTTTTACCATCAAGGCCAGAGACTCAGAGGATATAGGATTTTTAAAGCCAAAATCCCCTTTTTACTTGGCCGCGTTCAATGTCCGCACGCTCTGTCAGATTGACCAACAAGCTGCACTGGCGAAAACTCGAAACTTTCAATGTAGATGTATGTTGTGCCTCCGNCTGCATTCTCCTGTTCCAACCTCAACCTCACGCTTCGTGTGTCAGGCGATTCAGCATCCGAAGCTCGCGGTGTTGCTAGTATCGGGATTGCGCTAAGTGCCAAGGCTGAACGCTCGCTTCTTGACTGGATTCCAGTCAGTAGTTGACTGTGCGCTGTACGTCTCAACGGTTCAGCACGGGTGAACAACTACAGAACGAAGCGCGGATGCCTACTCGTCATATCTGCGTATGCACCGACCGATTGCAGTATACCCGAAACCAAGGATGAATTCTACAAGGATGTCTCTCAATTGCTCCAAAGTGTTCGGTCAACGGACATCGTTGTAGTCGCTGCAGACTTCAATGTTCAAGTGGGATCCCTGGACGAATCAAAAGGGCTTCTTGGCGGCCCGCATGCAATCCCAGCCAACCGGACGGACAACAGCGATCGCCTACTTCAACTCTGCGCGGACCACGGATTGTTCTTGTCAAACACGAAATTCTCGCACAAGAAACGACACCGTCTTACGTGAAAACCGCCAACCTCTTCACTGCGCTGGACTCGAATCGACCACATTGCCATCAGCCACGGTTGGCGAGGATCCATTGAAGACTGCCGTTCCTACTGGTCAACACCCGTGGACACGGATCATGCTCTGCTACGAGCGAGATTCTCCCTACGCCTATTAAACAACCGCAGAAAAACAACGACGATGGATACCCACGATACAGCGTCCGCGATGGCTGCAAATCGGCCTTCGAAGCGGAGCTCCCCGATCGCCTGTCAGTTCAACCACCAGCCGAAGGACTCAATGAACACTGGAAGCAAATCAAGGAAGTAACGCAAATATCATTAAAATCAACGTCGGACCCTGGCGTTGGTTCAAAATACAAACGATGGATTTCGTCGACCTCGGCTGCCTTGCTGGACGCCCGCAGAACCCTGCCTCCGGATGCCACATATGACAGCGCGCAAATCCCTTAAACGCCAGTTTATCAAGAGTCTGAGGAATGACCGCGAGAAGTGGTGGGTAGCGAAATGTAGAGAGATGGAGATAACTGTGGTTATTGGTAATATTCGCAATCTTCCGTCTAATTAGGAATACAGACCCCAGGAAAGTAGGTGTAACTGAGGTAATTAAGAAATCTGATTGCTCACTGTTTCA